GGTTGATGAGAGGATGACACTTTGAAGTTTGACAATGATGAGAACATAGTGTGTTCCTAAAAGACAACATGACGTGAAACTCGGAGTTTTTGTGACACAGGATCCCAACAACGATATCCTTTTTGTGTAATCCCATAACCCAAAAAACAACATAATCGAGCTCTAGGTTCTAACTTGTTATGTTCATGAGGTGGAAGAAGAACAAAACATGCACAACCAAAAACCTTAAGAAGATTATAAGCAGGAAGAATACCATGCAGACGCTCATATGGAGACTGGTTATTAAGGACTGATGATGGAATGCGATTAATAAGATAAGCAGCTGTAAGAGCAGCCTCACCCCAAAATCACCCTGGACAAGAGGATAAAATGAGCAGAGCACGAACAGAATCAAGGATGTGTCTGTGTTTGCGTTCGACTCGCCCATTTTGTTCAGAAGTATAAGGACAAGATTGTTGTGGCAGTGTACCTTGTTCTTTCAAAAAAGATTGAAGTTTAGTACCAAGATATTTAGTAGCATTGTCAATTCTCAAAACTTTGATAATTTTAGAGAACTGGGTTTTAACCATGGTAGCAAAATCAATATAAATTTGTGGTAATTCAAAGCGACTTTTCATAAGGTATATCCAGGTAAAACGAGTATGATCATCAATAAATAACACGAAGTACCTAGAACCCCCCATGGTGGGTGTAGGAGATGGACACCAAACATCAGAATGCACAAGATCAAAAGGAGCAGTAGAATGAGAATGACTACTCGAAAAAGATAAAGCTGGTTGCTTTACAGATTGACATGACACACAATGCACAGATTCATTCAGAACTGATCCTAATAAACCACGAGAGATAAGTGGACGAAGTTTACCGACAGAGGTATGTCCGAGTCATGAGTGCCACAAATGGGGAGGAGAAATGTTAGTAGCAGCACAGACTTGGAAGATTTGTTGATATGGAATTTGCAAAGACTCTAATTCAATAGCACAAAGTAGGGTTTGGATGAATCAATCATTTGGAAATGATGGTGTATCCATTTTATTATCAGGAATATGCAAATAGTTGAGCTCAAACAAACGCCCCACCTTGCGACCAGTTCCAAGAAGTTGTCCTGTCCGTGGGTCCTGCACACGACAACCATGAGCAGAAAATGTTACTTCAAGACCAAGATTGCATAATTGACCGACAGATAGAAGATTATAACTAAGTTTTGGAACTAAAAGGGCATTTAGTAAAGTCAATGACTTTGTAAAAACATTACCAATGTGACTAACATTCATAGGGGAACCATCAGCAGAATAAATATTAGGAAAGGAATTATTAGGTGACATTGAAGAGAAATGAGCAGTAATTGAAGACATATGGTTACAACAACTAGAATCGAAATACCAAGGTTTGGTACCCGGAGTAGTAGATAAGGCAGTAGAAGCATTAAAAAGATTTATTATCACCTGTTTTAGGGATTCAAGGTTGACATTAGGCTGTTCTATCACTTCTTTGGCAACCGTAGCAGTAGCAGGATGAGTTACAATCCTTTCAAAACTCGTCATAGAATCAGTAAACTCACAATACTAAAAAACTCTAAAAATATGGAGAAATAGATGTCAAGATCGAAATAACAAACCAACAAAATACCTCAGAAAGGGTCTGAGAATCGAGGATAAACAATCCAATCT